TTCCTGCTTAGAAAGTCGTCTAATACGAAGGAAAATACGGTAATTAATCCTACATAGTACATGTTACAGATTATATGATCCATAATTTATAATCCTGTATACTTGTTTTTTTACTCCCTTCCCCTCGCTCAGAACACAGCCACACAGAGTTTACATTCCATTTAAAGTTATAGTCATTCTTGGAGATATGGAATATATCATTGATTTTTTTACCTCTTTATAACCCATTTTTTTCTACTTTCTTCATCATAATTTCCCATTTACTCCCCATGGTTCTTTATTGCTATGTCCAATATACTTAAGCCTTCTTTCCCTAAGGAAATCAGTATATATTCTTTATATATTTAAACAAATAAAACTTATTCCAATTTGATTTTTTTTCATCCTAAAGCAATCACTACACGGGCAACTTTCTAAACTTGTTTCTGTTTATCTGTTCCTTAACTTCTATCCAAAACTCTTGAATAAAGAGGCATTCCTACTGAGTCTTCCCTGCTTGTTTTGGTTGTCTTGTCCATGGGCACATGGAAGAACACCAAGCACTAGTCGTAGCTCAGTAGTTACTCCAGAGGAGAGTGGTCAAGTCTGGAAATGCAGCCCTATGAGGAGCTCTGTGGGGAGTTGGGTATACTTAGCCTGGAGACGAAAACATTGAGAGGCAGTTCCTTCGAACTCTTGTTTGTCCCAGTGCTCTCAATTCTTAAAACTTTTCTCAGTTCAAAACCTCACTTGACCTTAGAAACCACTGGGTGATCTTGGACAAGTCCCACTCTCTCAGCCTCAGAAGGAGGCAAAAGCAACCCCCCTCTGGACAAACCTTGCCAAGAAAACCCTCTGATAGGGTTGCCATGAGTCGGAAATGACTTGAAGGCACACAAGAATAACAAAGTATTTGGTTTCTCTCCCCTTCACCCCTCCCTTGCCAGTACCATGCCTTAGGAGTGCTCTACCATCTTAGGAAGAATGACCGCCTTGCTGTTTCTAAGATGCTGAATAAATTTACTAAATCTGGACTGAAATCCCAGTTTGCATACTGCATGCTGATTCGGATTGCCAGCCGCCTCTTGAAGGAGTCTGAGGAGGGGTAAGGAAGTTTAGGGTTTAATGGAGACTACAGAAAAATAATATCACTGTATTCCTAAGGGATAGCTTGGTTCCTGTGATGCATAAGAAATCCCAAAGGAGATGAGGGTGGACTGTGATTTTTGAGTGGCAAATGGTTCCCATATCAGTGGACTGGTGGGAATGCAGGACCAGAACATCTGGAGGGTCAAATGATCCTCAGTCACGTTTTAAACTAGGAGTGGGCTTCATGCTCCCCTTTCAATTATTTTTGCCATTTATATTTTTCACCCCTCGATGCCACAAAATAGATACAGAACCTCCCAAGCTTCCATTTTGCAGCCCTCAAAGCAAGTCCCTTGGAACCTCCTCAACCCTGCCATTTTTTTTTTTTTTTGAGGGAAACTTGCCCAAAAGTACCTCTTTATTTGGCCAATGTGTCACTTCTGGTTACCTTTTTGTCTGATATAGGGACAATCCCTGAGGTTATTTGGGACTTGGACAGGCAGGTGTGGCTTGGGGGGAGGGTCGGAGAGATGAAAATTGACCCCCCACCCCCTGCCCAGTTGCCCACCTCTACTCTATGACATGTGAAGCTCCTGTTTCCCCAAGAGATGTGGGATTGTGGCCTAGCCAGGGCTATCATGTCTGCAGGCAGATTACCTGGGATTTTAAATACCATTACTAAGCACCGTGATTTTCCACTTTTAACATGTGATAAACTTTTCATTTTTCCTTGCCGGCAGGCACGACAACCCTCTGTTTGATTTCATCGAAAGCTGCTTACGGAACAAACATGAGATGGTTATTTATGAGGCCGCCTCTGCCATTATCCACCTCCCAAATTGCACTGCCAGGGAACTGGCGCCAGCGGTCTCAGGTGAGGACCTGCCTTCCTCTTAGAGGATGTTCCATGCAGGTAGAAGAGGTGTGGTTGCTAATTGTCACAGAGAGTAAGCTACAACAAAAAAGCTTTTCTTCCTCTCTTTTGCTGGGGTCATTGAAATGGAATCTGGTGAAAGATTCAGGAGACGTAAAAGAAAGCAGACAGTACATAGTTAAACCACGGAATTCACTGCCACAAGTTATAGTGGTGGCATACATAATGAATTCAAAGTGGATGGGACCATCAGTTGTTACTCATTCAGATGATGGACAGTATATGATGCAACAACCAAAAGAGGTTATGCAGTTGTGGGCTGCATCAGTAGGAGGGTAGTGTGCAGTAGTGCCACTCTGTTCTACTTTGGCCAGGCCTTACCTGAATGTGTGTCCAGTTCTGGGCACCACAGTTCAAGAAGGATATTGGCAAACTGAAACATGTCCAGAAAAGCCCTATGGAACTGGATATGTTAAGTCTGGAGAAGAGAAGGCTAAGAGGTAATATGATAGCCCTGTTTAAATATTTTAAGGGATGTCATACTTAAGATGGAGCAAGCTTGTTTTTTGCAGCTCCAGTTGGTTCAAACTACAGAAAAAGAGATTCCACCTCAGTATTAGGAAGAACTTCTGACAGAACAGCTGTTGGACAGCGGAACATGCTCCCTCAGAGTATGGTGGAATCTCCTTCTTTGGAGGTCTTTAAACAGAGGCTGGAAGGCCATCTGTTGGGGTGGCTGTGTCTTCCAGCATGGCAGAATGAGGTTAGACTTGATGGCCCTTGAGGCCTCTTCCAATAGTAATAGCATTTAGCATTTACATTTCTATCCCGTTTACAGTGAACTCAGCACTCTCTAAGCAGTTTACAATCTATAAACCAATCATCCCCAACAAGCTGGGTACTCATTTTATCGGCCAACCAAAATAATAATAATAATAATAATAATAATAATAATAATAA